AAGTTCCAAAATGTCGTTACGCTGAGTTTCGCGGGCAAATAAATGATTTCCATGTGTGAAGGAGGTTCTTTTGGAAAAATTTAACACTTAATTATATTCAATTAATGCGGGATTAAATCATAAATTTGAAATTTGAAATTTGAAATTCCAAATCATGTGAGCTGAGATGATTAGCCCGTGTTCAGCTCGTGTCCAGCCCAAACTGAACCCGAATTGCACCTGGGTTGAGCCTCAACTCACACTCCCTAATTAAATATTTAAGTGCATCAATTTTTGTGTCGTTTGTGCGTGCGCGAAACCATAGCAATATGGGTGTCTGTTTCGTCATTCGTGGTCGTCCGGACAAGTTTTCGGACGGTCGGACCAAAAATGCGTCAAATTTAATTTTGAATTTTGGGTTTGTGACGGATTATTTTGAAAATTTTTTTCAGTTTAATTGTCGGTGCAATGTGTTAATTGTGCTGTTGGCATTGCCAAGTCAGGGTTCACCTTTGGTCACCTGATCCTATAAGAACTCATTTTCGGCCCTCTAAATGTTAGTCCTTAGCCCTTGCAACTAAGAGTTGAGTGCTTGGGATTACTCATGTGAGGTCTTCACAAAAATGGGTCAAGAAGTGGTTCAAAGTTCTATGGGAAGTTCTACGGGAAGTGGGCTCCATTACTAGTCCGTTAGGATGGTCAGCAAGGAACTCCTAAAGCTAATCTTGGGTTTACTAGTCCGTTAGGATGGTCAACAAGGAACTCCTAAAGCTAATCCTGGGTTTTAGGAGTAGGAGACTAAGACCTTACTGAAAATGAGGTCAACAAATGAACCGAATAGGTGTGGTGTGCTGAACAAACACTTCGCGCGTATTGATGTTGGTTGAAGTGACAAACAAGATCAAAATTACTGTCTAAGTATGCCATGCTTAGAATAAATCAACCTAGAGTTAGGGTTAAATTTGAGCTGGGGCTTTCCACTGAGGATTTCTCAACCCAAGGACAAGTGCGTATTGAAGATCTTCAAATGTTTCCGTTGGGGATGAAGGGATTCGCCATATGTCTGCGTTTGATTGTTTTGTTTTCCTCATTTGATTTGATTGTTGTAAATTTAATTGAGTGAGGAGATCAGTTCGAGAAAGGAAGTACGGGGCCACCAACACGAAATTTACGACACAAGAGACGGCCACCAACAAGGGATTCACGCCAGAAAGAGGGTCACCAACAAGGGGCTTACGCCAGAAAGAGGGTCACCAACAAGTGGTTCACGTCATAATAGAGTCACCAACAAGAGATTTATGCTAGAAGAGGGTCACCAACAAGAGATTTGTGCCAGAAGAGGGTCACCAATAAGGGATTTATGCCACAATCAATTATGTAATAAACTTCTCCAGTTCGTCATCTCAGATTATCTGTAGTTGCATTGCATTAACAAATCGTGGAATGTAAGGCTCTATCTCCTCCTCATCTTCTTGACTTTGTATTATCGGAACTGTGATGCGATCCTCGTGGGGCTTGGCCGGTGCGTGTTCTGGTAAAGTAGGCTCTACCGCTTGCTCGACTTTGTGGAATTACATCCCCTGCTGGCTGGTCGTGTACATGTTCTTTCTTTTGTGCCGCCGGACGCCTGCTAAAGCTGCCTCTTCGGCTATCCTTTTATCCAAGCGGTCTTGCATCAGGAGCTTGCGACGGTTCATGTTGCGTCGTTGCATGCGCGAAAGTGGTATCCTCCTAAATGTGCCTGCTAGGGCCTTCTGTAACGAATCACTGATGAGGTTTCCCTCTGTTGTCAGAATCATTAATTGCATCTGTACGGTCTTTACTATCGAGTTGGCTCCTGGGATCTCTTCCTCATCATTCCTGAATTTTCTTTTCTTTGTTACTGCAGTGTTTTCCTTACTTTTGAAGGTGAGTACTGTTTTAAGACCTTCTGCTTCTTTTGAATTGACCACCTTCAACAGGTGTCCCTCAGTCCATTTTCACCTGTTCAAAGTCTAGGTCAAAGTCTATGATGGTACCCCGTGCTACTATTTCCTCATCGAGTGCGAGTTTGATGCCGTTTCTAAAGGAGAAAATCAGCCTCCTGCCCAACATTTTCCTGCAAAAGACATGAGAAACCTTAGTGTGCTAAAATTCAAACCAAACATGAACAATACTTGTTCGTTATTAATTATTGCTTTCAAAATGACGTTCACATTTCATTTCAAGCATGCATACATGTATTCATTTCATGGAGTTTCAGCTTTTAACGCGAAGAAAATGTGATTTTATTCAGAAGAATTCATTTTATTATTTCCATTACATTTCTTTTTATTTTATTTACTGGACCCAGTTACAGACAATTGTCACATCGACATATCTCAGGACACACAACTGGATCCCTTGAAACATCATGATGTGTAGTATTTTTTCAAATATTGCCCAAGACGGCTCAGGTTGAATAGTGTAATCTACCCATATGGAAGAAAATATCGAACTCTTGTAATATAAAAACATGAGATGAAAGATTTATTTAATGAGTAAAGAAAAAAATTAATTTTTTGACAGGACAAAGTGGGTCGTCTGTAGTAGCAATTATGTCGGTATATGAGTAAGCACGAAATTATTCATGCAACCAGAATTCATAAATCACTTGTACAAGAAATCAATCCTATACAAATGGTCGAGTGGATGTTTGAAACCTATGTTGAGAAAGCCCAACTAACATTGTCATCTTGCCTGAGTGCTCGATGCAATATTTGATTGGCTATTTTTTATTCTAAAATTTTGTTTATGTGATTATGCTTCCAACATTTATGAAAAGGTCCATTGATCCTGCACTTTCTTCTCTGATCATGAATTTTTGTCCTTATCAAATTAGCATAAATCTGAGTTCTTATTGAAATTTTTAGACTTATGCTGATATATAGAAGTCATAGTTGTTTCTTTGGATTTGAAAAAGTCAAATTGCTACTTTGAGAATTTAAAAATTGTTCATTGATAAATTATTTCTCTAATTGAGTCAAACTTGGCAGTGTAAATCAATTGAAAAAAGTAATACAAACAATATTTTTGTCGAAGCATGAACCAAAAGTTTGATACTTCAATTATATTGAGAGCTACCTTGCTTAACGATCTTATTTACCAAAAAAGGGATTCATCCCTCATTTTCTCTAAAACAGAAGTCTAGAGGAGATATCATGCCTTTTCAGGTTCTTCTCTCTTACATTTATAGGAAGTATGCAGACATAGCTTTGCTAACTTTGAATCGTCTCTTCATCCTTGCTTTTTTTTTGTTGGGTCTATCTGCGACAATGATAACTTCTATGCCATAAATCTTAACTAATTAAATATGATTTCATTTAAGTTTTCGAAAAGGATGGCATCGTTCAACTTGGGATTTCACAGGTAGATTCTGGTAGAAGTCTAGATGCCATTAATTAGATCCATAATCAAGAACAAAATCACCCACTTTACCATAAGCAAATAATTAGATTTAGTAAACTAAGCTAAAAAAAAGATGCAAGCAAATGTGGATCGCCATGTGCAATCAATACCCTTGGATACAATCGTTGAAAGAATTACTTTACTAATTGCTCATGATTAACGTAAATATAAACGTTTGAAGAAGATATATTTTGGTACTAATATTTAGGAATGAAGGAGATGCTCAATATTATACTGATTATAGACAAATTAACCAGTTGAATTGTATGGTGAAGTTATGTCAGCGATAATATATAGATTTGATAAGTCTTTTTAGTTTCGTACGTTAACAATTTATTGAGTGTTTTTTATGTTAAGACAATTGAAACATTTAGAAAACAAACAAAACATGTTAATATATATATATTTTTTGTATAGCAATCATATGATTGAGTATTATGAAAATTGATTTTGTACGAATGTGGAAGATAATTGTGTAAAAAATTTGTTAAACTGGATGTATAATAAAACTAAGATGAATGAACTAATGGATGATTATATTAATATTATGGTTGTAGTGACGTAAAGGTAGTTGAAACTAGAATAAGGTGCTTGGATATGCACAATTAACGATAGAAATACATCATTAAACGTTTGAATAAGTAATGTTGGAGGATTCAACAAGGAAATGAGTAAACTTACGATACTATAGCGAGAACAAATTTAAAGTGAGGATTTATAAAGGGAACCCATAGTAAATGGGATTACACTAATGATGCTGCTGATGAGATATAGAAGAATATCATGTTCTGGTCTTTTGTAACATTCAGAACTACATCCGAGCAATAAAAAGTCTACTAGAAAATAACAATCAATGATAGGAGCTTTGATGGAGAAATCAAGTACGACTCACTGTTGGTATTAGGATTCAAGTAAATATTGAATAAAATCTCGTCTAAGTAATAAATCTCTCCTATGCAAAACCATCAGGGCATGAGCTTCAACAATTTTTGTATACTCATGAAAGACGGAATAGAATATTTTTGGAGCAATGGCTTACTTTTTTGAAATCTCAATTATAAATAGAATTTATGCTCTTTTATCGAGGTAATTTAATTTATCGCCAATAATGCTATTATTAATGTAGCTCAGTGAAACAAAGTAAATTCATGTAAATTATAAATTAAGACCCATATCAGTTAAAAAGGAATATGTAACCAAAGTAAATTCATGTAAATTATAAATTAAGACCCACATCAGTTAAAAAGGAATATGTAATGTACAAGGAATATGTAATGTACAAGGAATAATTAGTTTAGATTGATACCAGAGGAATTAAATCTCAATAAAAAAGAGGTAAATAGTTAATGATGGATATGCAGTCACTAATTACAGAAAAGACTTCGAAATGTTTTTTTGGAAGGCCAATTCCGTCAAGTACCTTATCAAAATATCTATTTGTTACTTCTTAAATGTCTGCAATCTCATGGAAAAAATTGCAAGTGACAGTAGCACTCTATCTTCTTAGCTATATATATATATATATATCTATTAATCTTTGGTCATATTATGTGGATTTTCTGCTGCTCTTACTTTAATCTTACGTTCCACTCCAGGTTGTGGGTTCTGCATCAACCTTGATGCAGGATGAGCATTGGAGAAACTTAGTCAACAGTGCCAAAGAACGCGACTGTTATTTTAAGGTGCCTTAAATGCACTTTAAATTATTAGGATTCTTCTATACACGACTAATAACAACTTTTTTATTTCAGGTTTCAAAGCCCTATGCATCATTTTTCAATGATACAAATCTGAATACCTTTAGAGTACGGTCTAAGATGGAAAAGAAAATTCAAGAATTGAATGGGTTTGTGGGTCTAACCGAACTTATAACCGATCAAATGGATGTGGTTAATGAAGGATTCGAGGAAGATGGCATGGATGCTGATTATGGAGGCTTTGATGGAGAGTGAGTCAAGAGAGAACAAAAAGGAAGTCATTAACCTCAATGATTATGATATAGTATTATGGAAGTCATTAAAGTTTAAAACCGGTGCTAGCCCTTTGCCTTCAACCATGCTCTGAAATTTTTGAGTTCTGATTTTTATTGTTTTCTCTATTACATCTCGTTTAGTAAATTTGCTTTTTAACAGATTGTTAATCGTGTTCAACTTTTCCCATAATCGAGGAAAATGAGCCTTCATTTTCATTAGTTTGTTGCCTTGATTTTTTTTTTTAATTTTTAGTAGCATTTATTTCACATTTTGTGTAGTTAAATCGATTTGACCATTATGTATGAAATGAAATTTTTATACTCATGCAAATATTTTAAGTTAGTTTGTACGCTTATAAATTCAGAAAATAATAATTTTGTGCGCAATCAACATTTGTAACGTGCATCACTTCGCCGTGCTTACGACTTGCGGGAAAAATTTTGGTCTGATATCAAAGAGGCAGTTTTGGATAAAATTTTCTACAGATTGTTCAGATATAGACGATATATAATTACTTATGTGGTTCAGATTGTGTGTATTCAAGTGGGTTAGTGTAGACTTAATTGGGATTGAATGTAGCTTTTTTTTTTTAGTTATTGATGTTGATGTATTTAATCATTCAAATTCTAACAGAAGCATGGGATTGAGATCAAGTAAATGCACCATCCACATTCAATAATAAGAGATGCGGGCTGGTGTGCAGTATTTCAACCTTAAAGTTTAATTTTGGGCTTTTTACTACTTTCTATTCGGGTCACAATATTGAAGTTACGTGAATGAGTCAGAATATGAAAATTAATTAAACCAAAATTGGCAAAGATTGGAAGAGCTAGTTGAAATATGACGATAAACCACAATTGGCAAAGATTGGAGAGCTAGTTGAAATATGACGATGATAAAGTACAACGATGTAATATTCTATAAGATTTTAGCAATATAACGTCACCGAAAAAAGGCCTTGACTCGATATATGATTGGGTTGGTTTGAAGAAAATCTTCGATCTTACAGGTGTCAGAACTCGCAATCCCATGATATGATATCTAGCTACTAAAGTTCGCATATCACATCCATAACATAAACTTCAATTTATAATAGTGGTCCATATGAAAATAACAACATGAATAACAACTATAATAAGAATATTCTCAAAGTGACATGGATAATATATATATATAAAAGAATGGTCGGAGGCTATGGTACGAGTCTCAAGCTACTCATGTGCCTAACAACTCGATCCCGTGCTTCAAAACATATACATTCAGGCGGGCTTGAGTCCATGACCTCAGGGGATTTAGAACGGATTTCGTAGATGCCAATTAAAGAGTCAAGTATATGCTTTTACTACTATAAAAATAATTTATAAAATTACTAATATTAAAATTTAGCTTTGTATTTAATGCATTTTTTTAAAATCATAGTTATCTAACTCCATTTAATTAATTGTGTGTTTAAACTAACCATGATATCTTCTTAGTTACACAATTTAATATTCCATGTAACTATCTTTAGCCATTAATCAATCACAGAAAAGAGAATTCATAAAGGCAAATTGAGCCAATCACCATATTTTTTTTAATTAAAACTTATTCCCTATAAAATTCAACTAACTGAAAAGATAAAGTTCAAAGAAATCAAGGAAGGAAGAAAGAAGAAGCGAACTCAATCAAAAGGATTCTTGGAGCTTGAACGAGCAATTCTTGGTCTTGGTTTTTCGTTCGATCGGCAACTCCATTCTCTCTTCCGGTGGAGAATAACATCTTCTCCACCTCATCTTTCTATTCACTTAAGATTTTGTTGATCGCGGAGTCACTTGCTAAATCATCGTATGTGGAGGTTTTTGCTTGTAATCAATCTTCGAATCCTGTTGTTGTTAACAATCTCTTGTTTGCTATAGAGTTCAAAGAGCATGTGGTAGATAGCTTATCTACCGGCCTTTTGAAGAATGCGGCAAAGAAAAATGGGAATCAGTGATCTTTTATTAAGTGGATGAGAAATAACTGCGAACCTTTATGATTTACTTTAGTTGGGAAATTCACGTTTTCTCATCCTAGAATGAAAGTTCTTTGGAATGTTTTTGCTGATTTGAAGCTACTGGGCAGATGGAAAGTTGGATTATTTGACGGTAGGCATCTTATGATTCAGTTGAAAATTGAGGTTGATTATACCTCTCTGCTTGCTAGAAAGGTGCTACAAATCGAGAGGGTGAACATGAAGATTCTTAAGTGGACTATTGAGTTTTAGTATTAGTGGTGATCTTTATACTAATCCTCTATTGCATTAGATATAAATCTTATTTTGGCTCCTTTTGAGGAGAAAATTAAAGATACTGGTGATGATGGTATGGGTCGTGGAGGACTGTGGGCCCTTATGGTTTTACTGTTGAATTTTATAAATGTTGTTGGGATACTGTTAACAAAGATTTTTGACACGATTTCTTCAGAGGTATGGATCTGCCTAAATTCATTAAATTTTCTAATATTGTTATTATTCTTAAAGCTAAAGAGGTTTTTTCTTGGGATGCTTTTAGACTTATCAGTTTGAATTTTGTTTTATCTAAGTTTACCTCCAAAATTATGGTGAAAAGTATGCAACCATGTTTACGACATATTATTAGTGCTAATCAATCTGCTTTTTTGGAAGGTAGAAATATTTGTGATAATGAATTGACTGTTCAGGAACATTTTCTTGATATTGATAAGAAGGGTAGAAGTGTTAATGTAATTTTCATGATGGATATTAAGAAGGCCAATGATAATATCAGATGGGAATTCATTATTGATGTGCTTCAAGCTTGTGGTTTCAGGAATGAGTTTTGCAGTCTTATTATCATAATTTTAGTGAACAAGTAATAATTTCTTTTGATTAATGGTAGTTCTTGTGGGTTCTTTAAAACTACTAGAGGAATTAAACGAAGGGATCCTCTGTCTCCGATTCTGTTCATCATTATTGTTTATTACATTTCTAGATGTTTAAATGCTACTTTTAATGCTCATCCTAGTATGTGTTACTTGCATATATGTAATATTGGTATTTCTCTTCTTAGTTATGTGAATGATTTGTTCGTTTTTACAAATGCCAACAAAAGATCTATCAAGCTGATGTTGAATGTGATTAAGCACTTTCAAGTGGCTTCTCTCCTGATCTTTAATACCGATGAATGTTACTTTTATTGCTCCAAGCATGTTTATCCTAGTAAGAAGAATTGGATTATGGATTTTCCCAATTGTGCTAAAGGTTGATTTCTTATAGTTTATTTGGGTTATTGAATGGATAAGGGAGAAGAAGGAAACTTCTTCTCTGTAGTTTGATTGATAAAGTTTAAAAAAGGATTTTAACTTGGGAAAATAATTTTCTTTCTTTTGAGGGGGAAATTACTTCATTGAAAAGTAATCTCACTTCTATTCCTTTTTATACTATTCAAATTATGAAGGTTCCTGCTTGCATTTATAAAGGCGTGAAGTTTTGTTTCATAAGTTTTCATGGGATGGTAAAGATCATCCTAAGATTCATTGGAAAAGTTTGAAAAACTTTGTAGACCTATTGATAAAGGTGGTTTGGGTTTCAGAAGTTTTCATGATGCTATGAAGGTTAATTTTATGAAACTTTGGTGAAGATTTTGGATGGGAAATTATATTTGGTCTTCTTTATTGAAGGCTAAATATTATAATATGGTTCATCATCTTGTTGTTACTACTAATAAGTATGATTCTATTACTTGGAGAGAGATGGTAAAAGTTACTGAAGCACAGAGGATATTTCTAAAGGTAATTATTCTTTTTTGTATGACAGCTGGTTGGGTAATGGTGCTTTAACTGATTTTTATGGTGGGCCTCATGATGTGAATACTAAAGTGACTAATTTTTGGAATGGTGAGTGGTGGAATATGTAAAGTTTACTAGGTTTTGTGCGTAATTTTGATGCTCAGTTTATTGGGAAAATTCCTATTTCTAAAGTGAAAGAGGATGTTCCTAGAGAAAGGAAAGATGGGAGACTTTATTGCAAAATATTTTGCTACTTCTTTTCAGGTTTTCCAAGGTGATGATCTGAGGAGGGCTTGGAATCATATGGTCAAGCCTTCTCAATGATTTATTTATTTGAAGAATTTTTCATGATATTCTTCCTGATGATAATATTCTAAAATTAAATGGATTGAAACTTAATTTTTGTTTTTTTGGTAGGGATCAAGAGGAGTCTACTATATAAGTTTTTGTCCAATGTAACTTTTTTTATGGTGGTTTGTGATCCATCTAAAAATAATATGTTTTTAGTGCATATCTTATAAGCCTTTTATGTACATTTTTAATGATGTTGCACTTTAAAGAAAGATATTTTGCATGTTTTTTGTTTCAGGTACATTGAATGGAAATTTAGAGAAAATAAGAGAAAAATAGAGTAAAATTGAAGTTATTTGTGTGGCATAGTGCCCCTCCTTGGAGCCATACCGTCACAGACTAGTGAGAAGGTGATACACCAAAATAATATGTTGTTTTAATTGTAAATTTTATGATTATTTTTTGTGATATTGAACTTTAAAGAAGGATATTACTTTAAAGAAGGATATTTTCAATCTTGTTTTTATTGCAGCTATATCAATTTTAGGCATTTGGAGCAAAAGTAGCAAAAAGAAAAAAATTTGGTGCCAAAACAATGAATTTTGAGATTCTGGCACCTGAAGCGCCACTTTACAGAGAGGTGGCGCCTGAAGCGTCGGAACTGGCGCCTGAAGTACCATTTGATAGAGAGCTAGTGCCTGAAGCACCAAAATTGGTGCCTTAATCGGCAAAACCCAGAACAACGGGATGCTAAGCAAGTTGACATCTGAAGCACCAGAGATTACTTTTTTACGGATTAAGGCGATTCAGGACAAATTTTGCATGAATTTTGAAAGGGACACTGGTTCTAAATGTCCCATGGAGTGATTCAATACATCTAAATACTTTGAAAGGTTCTTATATGAAGGGATATATCTGTTGGATCAATAGACATGTCTTTTGAATTCAAAATAGTTAACATTTAGACAGAATTTTGGAAGGAATTTTGAATCCTTTTTCGAGGGAGGCAACCTTGACAATGACTTTATATATGCTAATACTGCTGCTAAAAGATTTAATTCCTTAGCAACGACACCAAAACTTAATAATGGTTATAGATTCAATAAAGATGTATATATATAATATTCAATAAT